CTTGGCAAAGGACAAAGCAATCCTTTGAGTACCCTTTTGGTCAGTTTGATGTGCGCCACGTTTAGAGAGCTCACAGGCTCAGCCCGTTCGGTTTCTGTGGTTACTATTTGAAGTTTTGATTAATTAATGAGTGAAACCCATCTGAGGTTCGGCCAGGTATGATGGCCGAGGTTGAAAAAGGTCTCAATGACTTGACTCTGGCAGGCTGTAATTTCGTTTTAGCTTGTTATTCATTAGCAGGCCATCAGTAACCTTATCCAATTTGAGCCTGACGGTCCCAATTTCGATTCGATTCGATTCGTCCTCGGTTTAATTGAGTGTTTGATTTAATTATAGACCATTTAAATGCCGTTGTGCTGCCGCTGTTTCATGCTGCATCATTAAGCATTGATTACGAAAGCTGATTAATTAGTTTCCCTGCTTTACCTACACACAAACACACACACTCACACAACAACTCACCTATTTATGACAATGCATCAAAAGTGCGTTATAATTATGTAATTGTTGCTCACAGCGCATCGTGTTCGCGTGCAAATTGCGTATGTTGTCGGGCTAATTGTGATTGCAGGGCTCTGGATTTTTCGGAGGCGGTTCCCAGCTTTGTACGATGCCAGGTTTCGGGTCACCACCAGAAAAAGCTTTCCGAGCCACCAGCTCAACTTTTAATGACAAAACGCAGCGTTTGTCCCTAACTTTTACCCAGCTCATTTCAGATCAGCTCACTTAGCCAAAGCACTTCAAAAAATAACTTTACATAATAATGCAATATTTGGGATAAAAGTTGTGTGCAGTATTTTGGAGAGAAGGTAAAAAGTTATAAAAATATGTTCAAGAATATAAACAATATTTTATTTATGGTAAGAGTAAGAACAACAATGATTCTAGCAAAGAATGGCATACCACTTTGAGCTTACAATTAAATTTCTAGACGATCGGCAATCGCACTTGAAAATATAGATTTTTTCCACAAAAGTGTCTTTCTTTTAGCTGCCCGCCTTGTTTTGATTTTTTATGTGCTAAAAACCGAAAAAAAAACTTTTTCCTGATTATAAATAATCAGTAAATTTCTCATAGTAGGCCTAAAAATGGTCCAAATATGGAATGTTATACCTTTCTGATCTCGAAATTTAATCTATTTTAACTTTTAATTAATGCGCATCTAAAATTGGAAAATTTAATTTTTCGCCATTTTTGCAAAAAAAGACGATGGTACCCCTTATATCAAATGCAAAAAATGGTCAAAAATTGTTTTTCCAATTTCGGGCGGACAGTCAAATAGGTCGTTAGTTGGGCTTGTTAGCTGCACAAAAATGTGTTTCTTTTCGCTGTCAGCCTTGTTTTGACTATTTTATGGCTGTAAAACCTAAAAAATTTGTATTTTCCTCCTAGAATGCTTGAAAATGGTCCATATGTGGAATGTTATACTTCCAAGAGCTCGAAATTTAATCTATATTAACTTTTAGTCAATGTACAAAATATAATAATAAGAATACAATGTAAAAAATTTAATTTTTTGCCTTTTATACAAAAATAGAGCTTATATCGTAAAAAAACTTTTTTTTCTGATTTTTCTGGTTTAGTATAATTAGTAAATTCCTCATAGTAGGCCTAAAAAAGGTTCAAATATGGAATGTTATACCTCGTTGAGCTTGAAATTTAATCTATTTTAACTTTTAATCGATGTGCACACAAAATTGGAAAATTTAATTTTTGGCCATTTTTGCAAAAAAAGACGATGGTACCCCTTATAAAAAATGCAAAAATTGCTCAAAAATTGTTTTTCCAATTTCGGGCAGACAGTCAAATAGGTCGTTAGTTGGGTTCGTTAGCTGCACGAAACTGTATTCCTTTTAGCTGTATGTCTTCTTTTGACTAATTTATAGACCAAAAACCTAAAAAAATGTATCTAAAATTGTAAAAAAATTTTTTTTTAATTTTTTTAGTTTAAAAAATTTGAATTTTCCTCCTAGTAAGCTTAGAACTGGTGCAAATATGGAATGTTATAGCTTTCTGATCTCAAAATTTTATCTATTTAAACTTTTAATCAATGTGCATCAAAAAATGAAAAATTTGATTTTTGGCCATTTTTCCAAAAAAAGACGATGGTACCCTTTATAAAAAATGCAAAAATTGTTCAAAAATAAACTTTACCAATTCAGCCGGAAAGTTATAGAGTACGTATGTTGGGGTTCCTAGCTGTCCAAAAATGTGATTCTTTTAGCGGTGCGTCTTGATTTGGCCAATTTATAGGATATCAAAAATCGTTATTCCGATCTTTCGAATGCAATATGGAAATTATACCTCTTTGAGCTACTAATTTATCTCCCAATCGATTGGCATTTCGACCTAGAACACTAAAATTTATACCTCTTATACCAATAGGTTTACTTTCCGCTAATTGAAACACATTTAATTAGGTAAAAGCAGCTATTTTTCGACAGTGTGAGCTCATCAGAGAGTGGTGGCCACAGAAACCGCCGTCTCATGATTTAAATTTAATGCAACTTTTGCTTTATAGCCAAACTGTCACACACACACACACTCACACACACAGACATTAATGTAAAAGCTATAAAGTCATGTGCAACACCATTGCCACTTCCTGGCGGTGGCAGCAGCAGCAGCTAAAGCAGGACCAGAGCAAAATTCAGGAGCAGGAGCTGGAGAGCAGAAGCAGGATCAGCTGCCGGTTCGGGACTCTTTGCCAGCTATTTGGTCACTGCACTTAGTGCACTTCCTTTACTCGCATTGCTGGGGTTTTTCGCCAGCCAGGGAAAAGGGGTTAAGGGTTTTTTAAACCTTCTACTCATTACTGATAAAGGTAGTTGGGAATAAGCGGTATGATAGGTTTAACTTAGATAAGGATTGTTAGAGTTTATTTACAATAATATAAAATAGTAGAAAGTTAACTTAATCCAACTTTGCAACTATTTTATAAAAGTTAAATCAAATGTAACATACAATTTCGAGCTACTGAAAGTAAATGTTATTTTTATAAGGAAAGGAATTATAATAAGATCTTCGATGAATAAAAGATTTTTTATACGAAAACGCAAACTCATTCTTACGAACTTAATGGGTATCATTTGAAGCTGAACTGTTTAGTTTTTGGCTGATTCTGGTGATGCTGCTCTCGTTGCTGCCGCCTGATGAAATGCCATGCTTGGCGGTTGAGCGCTGAGATTTTGCTGGAACAGAAGACCGACAATCCTCACCACACACGAAGCTGCAAGTGTGTGAGTGTCATCCTGGGTGTTTGATTGTGTGTGCCAGCGTGTCTGTGTGAGATGGAATTTTGCAGTTTTAGTTAATGTTTAGCCAGCGCAATTTTGGCCCAAAGAACGCCGTGCTGAGGAGCCAAATACTTTGACAACATCACTAGTTACATTTTCTATATATATATAGAGAGTACATGTGTGGAAAATAGGGAAAGAACTTGAGTGAGTGTGAGTGTGCTGACGAAAGTGGTTTAGTGCTATTTTCATTTCGGCATTGGATTTGCCATTACAGTCTGGCCAAGCGTGTAAATGAAATTTGATAAGATTAGGCTGTGCAATTGTTGCAGTGGAGCACTTTTAGGGTCCCTTTCTTCGTACTTCTGAGTGTTGTTTCTAGCGATTCCTTTGAGTGGTATAAGAGTGAAACCGTTGGAAATTTTGAAAAAATTCCCATTCATGCACGAAACACGAAAGCTTTTAAGTTCTACAAATCATTCGGTTTTGGTTGTTGGTTTGGGGCGCATGTCTGTCGAAATCGAAATAGAGAATGAGAGAGAGAGAGAGAGAGAGAGAGAGTGGGAGAGAGCATCGGAGAAAGTCGGCAGAGAGATTCGAGCCTCGGGTCTCGTGGTCCCATGTCAACTTACACGCTTACACCCCATTGTAGTAGAGTTTTTTGTAAGCGGTGTAGTGCGTGATTTTGATGGTGGTGTAGGTTAAGTTGTAGCGGTGCCATTTTTTAGCCTGCAACTTGGCGAAACCAATCAAGAAATTCTAATTAATGAATGAGTTCTGGCTTGGGGGGAAAACTTAATCAGAGTTAATTTGAAATAATCGAAAAGCTACGTTTTTTAAAACATTTAACATTAAAGCAAGAATAGCTTCTGTTAGTCTTTTATTTTAAACTACAAACTCTGCAGAGAGTTTTTGTACATATATTATTTTGGTTACATCTAACGAATATTTTGCTGCAACTATTTTAGCTATATATATTGATGCAACATTCATTGTAATCTGTGATCCTTGACTGGCGGCTGCCTTGACCAGCGAGGCTGCAGTAACTGCGAGATGCTCTTGGTAACCGCTTTTTGGAGCTCTCATTCATCTAGGGAGAGGCGGCCTTAAAGAGAGACGGCAGGAGAGTTTGACAGAGTTGGGGAGAGCGAGCAAAAGGTTCCACAGAAATGCGTGGTGGAATGTGTTTTGAGAAAGGTTCAGAAGGGCAAAAGGGTGTTGAGGTAGGACTGCTAACTCGAAAAGGTCGACTACTACATTGAAATCCTGATCTTATTTTCCATTTCGTTTTTATGTACAACCTAGTCCGAGGAAACTCTTAAACTTATTCTTTCTATTATGGTATCTTACTTTCTATACGTTCTCGATTTTTACTTTAATCTAAATCAGACAACTATCCTTCGTTAGCTAGTCTCTTAAAGTTATATTGATTTTAAATATTAAATATAATAAAAATAAATATTTAAAATTTATGATACATTTTCTTGTACTTATTACAACCTACCTTTTGATCTTATTCCCCATTGATAGTTTAAATTTCGCTGACAATCTTGACAATTCAAGTTCATGTGGCTTTTGAGAAAAGCTTACCAACCACATGCCATCCACAGAACCACAACTTAAACGGCTTTTCGATTTTCCACCCAGAAACTCTTATAATCTGACACTTGGCTGTTGTTCGCTTTTCGCTTTTCGATTTCGAACCGGCGACCAGCGTTGGCCCACTTACAGGGCTTACACACAGACGGTTAACTAAAAGGATTCAACTGCTCGGGAAATTCGAAAATGCGCGACCCGAACGAAAAACCCGAAGGATCCGAAGAATCGTAGAGGGCGATGGCGATGGCAAAAGTGGCCAAAGCCACGAATGAATGGCCAGGCGCTTTAGTACTGAAAAGGTCGTGGATTTGTGTAGTTGTCGTGCTCCGTTGTCGCCGTTTTGTCGAGTTGTCGTGTTGTCGTTGTCGTTGTCGCGTTCGTATGTGGCATCGAATCGCCTAGCATCGCATCGCATCGCATCGCCTAACATCGCGTAGCCGCAGTGTTGACCGTCCGCATCCGCAAAACTGGCAAACGAAGCAAGTTAGCTAAAATTCAAGAAACAAGTGCCAGTTAAGATATATTTTGAAGAGTATATCTCAATCGGCGGTTATCGCAATTGTTGAATGCTAAAAAGTCAAGTGAGACGACAGTGCACGTGCTGCTACGACAAAGTACAAGTAGAAACATCTCAAACGCCTGCGTTAAGTTTCTGAATGTGTTGTTATGCAAATCGCGTCCTTTTTGGGCTTGAGGCAACAATACAGTGAACGTGTGTTATGTATGCGTGTGTGTGTGTGTGTGTGTAAGTGAGTGCGGTTGAGAGTGTGCGAGTTACAGTTTATATATATATATACGCTGGTGTACGCGCCCACAATGCATAAATCAAAATACACATTATTGAGTCATAAATAAAGTTCGCATCGGCTGCTACTTTAAATATTGGCCTCTCGGCTCTCGGCGATTTTTTGGGAAGACGATAAAAGCAAAAGCAAAAGCACAAACGAAAAGCAAAAACCCAAAGCGAAAAGCAAGGCAGCCGAAATCGAAATTTTTGCCTCGCACCCGCCAAATACTTTGCCATATTTTTTGCTCAATTGCCTGCCGCTTCTCCAGATCCTTCTGGCCCTTCAGTTCAGCTCCTTTAGCTCATTGGTGGTATGATGTGTGTGCTCGTCTCGCTGCTGGCTGCATAAAACTCGTTCAATGCCAACACGCCCTAAACAACAGCAGCAGCAATAAGCAATAAGCACAGCGGCAACAACTTCATCGGTGGCAACAACATTGGCCTATACCCCTGCGGGCTGATTTTATTACAAAGACCGTAAAAAACGCCGAGAAAAAAGCGGAGTAAACGCCACAGCAAAGGGATACAATACGGCCAAAATAACAGGGGTAAGTGCATGTGGGGAGTAAAATATCTACCGAAAATAAACATCTAAACATATATACTTTTATACCCACCTAATCTTGAGTCAAAAGTAAACGCTCAAAAGTATGCTAGGAATAATAATGCCGGGCATTGTACTTCGAAGTTGAAGGCATTAAAAATAGAAGCAATTATTCTATTCAGCTTGTTGGAATTCAGAAATGTAATGCTAATAAAACGTAAACAAATCAATGAATAACAAAAGGTCGGAATATTTGAAATAAATTGAGGCAGGTTTCTTGTTTCTGTCTGTGGGTGGTATGGAATGATAGACAATACTAAATATAAAATTGTTTTAAGAGAAAATTGTATGTAATGTAAACAATTTTAACTGGATTTCTTATTCTACTTCAAACCATAAATAAATATTTCATTTTCTCCAAGTCTACTGAAAATGAAAAACTGAAAGAAGGTGGATAAAAAGGTCTCTAAGAGCAAGGAATCTGCTTAACTTTGTTTTAGATAAAAGAAGAAAATATGTTTCCCAAATACTCTCAACTAAAAATATTTCTAAATTTATGCCTAAACTCGCATACATTTGTCAGTGCTTTTTCAGTATAAAACTAAGTAACTGAGTAAAGTTCTCAAGTTAACTAAAAATTCCCAGCTTATATTTTTGAAGCCACAATACCAAAGTGGGTCACACAAACGAAACGAGAACGAAACTTACAATTTTGTCGGCGACTGTGTCAGGGATAATATTTTCCATTGCCTTTGATCATTTTGTTGATGCCGGGGTGTCAGTTAGTCAGTCTACGAAGTGCGTTAGTCTATCTCCCGAGGAGACGTAAGCCATGGAAATCATATTAAAATGCTGTCTGTGCATAACCTACTTTTTATTTTTATATACATATATATATATATAGATATATATCCCTTGTAGCATGCAGAGTAGCATACAAGTTGGTGAGTCTCGCACCCGGTTGCATTGTGGATTGGATGGGCTGGTAACATTCCCATTCGCATTCGCACATACACATATATATATATTGTTGCCATTTCACTTTTGCTGAGCACGTCTTCGCATGTTGATGTGGGTAAGGATGTGGGTATGGGTCCCTGGCAAGGCTGCAGGCGCTTGCCAAATGCGCTTTGTTGCCGCCATTGTCAACATGGCCAGGAAAGGAAGAGGAGCAGTGGTAGGGAGCAGCAGGAAATTTTTGCATTTTTCGGCTCAGTCAGCGCAACGTGGCTTGGCAACGGGCCATAGGGTGAAGGGGTGCTATCATCTCGTCTCTGATTTTCTGCACAGCTTAAATTATTAAATGCCTGGTCCAAAAAAGAAAACTTAAGGCGTCTCGCATAAATCAAGCTGGCCAGGGGACAACAGACAAGCGGCAAACCTGGCGTATGCGCAACTTTAATAACATGAGCAGCAGCTGCGAAAGTTTCGCCTGTCAAGGGGGAGCAAGTTTAATGCAGCATGTAAATATTGTCATGACACACGAAAACTTTCACTGGCCCTTTGTTGACAGGCTCTCGAGGACAACGGCTGAAAGGATACGAGTGTGTTTATATGTGTGTGTGTAGACAGCCGAGATTTATGAGCCCAAATGGAAGACGAAGCGTGTGACTCGCATCAAATGCCGAGTGAAAAGTTTCACAATTAATTTTAATAGTTAATGGCAGAACTCGCCAAGATGACTTTTGGCACACATCAAATCTCAAGAGTAGTTTGCTGGGAACAATCCGAACAGAATCCCTGAAAGATATATGAAACTTGCATTCTTAATGAAAAGTGAGGAGACATCCGATATTCTTATTGAAAAATACAGAACCGCCAATCTATTAGTTGAGGGTCTTCTTTCAAATCAACATATCAAATACCATTTATTCGTTTAAGGGAAGAAAAGATAATTGAAGAATGTTTAATGCCATGAAAAAAAAAGAAAACCAACCGTTGAAATATCACATTTCAAAGCAGAGAAGAACAGAAATCAAAGCTTTGGCTGTGTAAAGCCAAATAATCCATCAAGTGGCATTAACTTGAAACAATAAATTTCACACACAGCTGCAGATGTAAGCCCCGGCCTTTTGCTGTTTCGAGCTCGGGCACTTGAAGTGCTTGACAACTAATCAGGTTTCAAATGCCTAAGCACACACACACACTCTGGAACACTGAGCGAAAAAGAGGTAACAGAAAACCAAAAGGCAAGGGTAAATAAATCCGTTGTGAGTGTCGGTAATCAAAGCTGCTTACGAACTGCGCATTTATTGTTCTTTATGGAAAACCAAGCATCGGTATTGTGGATTTTTATTTTTTCCTTTAATGCATTTGGTTTCAGTCTAGACGAAAGTGGCTGGGTTTTATGTGTGGGCCGCTTGAGTTTCGAGGCTCGAAAAATTCATCAAAAGTTTTAGGAGGACAGCAATTGCTTAGGATTTAAGTAATTGATCGGTCAGAGAAATGGAATTATATGGTTTCATGTTGGCTTTATAATTATATAGGTTTTTAGTGGATATTTGATTTTCCCTTCCATCACCTTTAATAAAATCCCAAGTGCAGTATTTTCCCTCTCCTTCTCTATGTTGTCTTTCGGCGCTTCTTTGATTTCACAGTCACCACTAATGGAAAGAAGTACAAATTGTTTTGAAATGTGAAGCCATGCGTTCAAATTGGCCAATGGTTATCCGGAATCTGAGCCTTCCATGCCGTTCTCATCCCAATAAGCAGCCGAAGACTGCCTAACGTTTTAACAGAAAATAACTAAAAAAGGCTAATGTACTTTCAATGTTGACCAGTACACAAAAATAATGGAAGCCCGTCGGGGCCGGAAAAATGGTCCATACTAAAATTAAAAAAAAAAAAAAAGAAAAGCTCAACGGAGGAGGAAAGTTTTAGGTGGGGCAGGCAGAAGAATATGAACCCATTGAAATGGTCGACCCAAATCTGCAGGGGCAAGAAAATGAAGAAATGCAACAGCATAAAAAGTGAAAGAGCAATATGAGCTCAAAAACGTGGAATATTGCTCAAGCTGGGAATATAGTAGACTCTTTACTAGTTACAAGCTAAGAGTATAAGGATTATAGCAAAAACTTAGCGAGTGGTACAGAAGTTAACGTAGACTTTGTAAGACTTTCAGAAATATTTAAAATCTTTACAAAATACTCTAAAAACCATTTTCTATAACCTTTTTGCTTTTTATATTGCCGTTTCCATCAAAAGGTAATTCCATCATATCGTAAAACTATAAAAGCCCTAACAGTTAGTTATGCAAAGTGTATTAAAAGCATCGTCTTGGTGGGAAACTTTTCACTCCATCCCATTTTCCCTTTTTGCTCCTTGGGGCTTTTACTTTTCCTCTAGTTTTCCTTCTGCGTTTACCGCTGGCATTGTGTGCGCATAATAGTCTGAAATTAAATCAGCGAGCGCGTGGGTAACTTAAAATAATAGCCATTGCTTATGTTTAAGTAAAATATGTACTTTGTGTACGAAATAAGTGACCAGGATGGAGCTGCTTCTCCTGCAGCTGCTGAATACAGTTTTCTTTTTGTTTTTTTGTGTGCTGTTTTTTGATTTCAGGCTGCTTGCTTATTTCCGTTTCCGCTTGGCCTGCCTGACTGGCTGATGCATTTTTTATTAGCATCAGTTCACCGTTCTGGCACATTATTTAGTCCACTACAGACCCGTCCAGCTTTTTCTTCATCGCATTTCGTTTTATTACCACATTTCCATTGCATACTTCAAGGGGAGCCGCTTAAGAGCTTTACTTAATTTTTAGCCGCAGTTTCGCTGAGATTATCACTGGGCTAAGAACAAACAAAGAGAAATAGTAAAAGTACACTATAATTTAAGGCAGTGTCCGTTTCTCCAACTCTATTGACACTGTCTAATGCCCGTAATTCTCTATTTGCTCAACTCTGGCCGAGGTGCTAGTGTGGCACTGCCACTGTGGCAGATATATTTCAATAATAATAATTAATAAAACGAAACCGAGACTACGACTGCTTGGTCCTATTGATTTATGACCCTTGGTAAATTGCGGCACTTAGTATAATTGTTTATGTATATGACAAGGGTCTTGGAAAATGGGAACTTAGGGGTAGTCACTTGATTAGCCTTCCTGCACCGAGGTATAGGGACCTTTCTGTATGTATTTGTATTCCTGATACCCACTTAGATAGCACATACATGTATACACATAATTGACACACACTTTCCACATATTTCATTATAATTTTAATTTAATTATTCATTGCTATTTAGAGAAGACAAGAAGATTGCCTTTCTAGCAGTTGGTTGTTTTCTTTTTAAGCCTCTGATTGTTTAGGAGTTCTACTAGATTTCTAAGGAAGTTAAACTAAACCTGATCCGAAACTTCCTCAATAGGTTTAAGTATTTGATTTTCTCTTTCTTTTTCTTTGAACAACAGCAACATTCCTTTTTCTGAATAAAAATAATATTTACCCTTTTTTTTTGTATACTTTTAAGTTTCTTAAATAAATCGATTCGAAAGCTAGAAAAGCGTAAAAATTTTGCAAGTGGTATTTAAAATAACATTTACTTAGCCAAAAATGTACGAGGATAAACCACAGAAAGGCAAACAGGCCGAGCAGAATGGGAAGGAAGCGGACTTCTGGCATATGAAATGAGCAAATAAAAGAGACATTCAATTATCTAAAAAGCAAAACAAATATGAAAATTAATTTGACATGTTTGACATTTTGGGCAAACACAAGCATGAACATCAAAAAAGGGGGGCTGTGTGGGGGCGTGGTCGACTGAGAGTGACAGAAAATGCCAGAAAAACATTTGATTAACCCAGATAAAAGGACAAACTGAAAGTAGGAGGAGAGAGAGGGAAATGGCGTGACAAACGCTTAACTCTTTAATCAGGGATTCTTTTTGACCCCCAGCTCAGCTAATTTTCCGGGCGAATGTAAGAATTTTCCCCGCTCTTTGCTACTCTATGGATTTTCTTGCCGTTTTTGGGCTGCTTCCCTTTGGTTTTTCTTGTTCTTTTTT